CCAAAAAAAAACCAACTCACGAATCGTCGACCGATTATCAAACATCACAATCGTTTTCGGTTGCCAGCGAACTCGAACCTGGAAATCATGACCGGTGACCAGATGATTCATCAGGAAATCCATCACCCATTTCGTCTCTGAATCCTTGAGACCATCAATCCTCGTAATAAACTCGCCATTCAAAAACATACACTTCTCTCCGGTCACGGGATGCACCCGGATCAGCGGATGAACCGTATCAACGGGATCCTTTCTAACCAAGCCACCCGTCATGCGGGCATGACCAATCATTTTAGCCGAAGAATGTGTCACTTTCAATCCATCCAAAAAGGCCGTGACAGCAGGCGAGAGCCGTTTGTAGGCCAGATCGGTAGCGGCGAAGACGGTATCCCCGCCGACTTCGGGGCCCTGGAGGAGACCGAGCATGACATAACCGGGAGGCTGAATTTCATAACTGACATCCTGGTGCCAGAGGGTGGTCGTTGTGCGCTGCTGCAGGAAGCGGGCGATTTCATCTCTGTTTCCGTCTCGGTGAATGATATGAAACGCGGGATGATCGGTCATTGAGCCCGAGACGGGTTGGTAATTTGGTTTACCAAAATGGCGCATGAATGTTTCCTGGGCATCTGGGCCTGCATCAATAAGATCCTGGTCTGGGAAAGCGACAACCTTGCGCTCTGTAATGAGGAGAGCGAGTTCATCTCTTCCTGCGGCGGATAGCTCTGAAAGCTGGACATTCTCGACGATTGATCCTAAGCTGGGCTGGATGTGGGAGACTTTGGCGGTTGGAGGTAGGAGGTTGGGTTTTGATTTGTTGCGGACACGCAGGGCTGGGTCTTCATATTCAAAGGGTTGAAGCGGTTCGAACCAGATTGGGTCCCATGAGGGGAGGTATTGGGGATAATTGGTGGAGATTTTCGATTGCTTGTCGACATCGACATACGGGATGTTAATGTCGTAACTGATTGGTTCTTGCGTTTTTGGCTGTTTGGGTCGACGGGGGGCTGACGAAGGCATTGTCGATAGATGAGGATCGAAAGTATATATAGATGGATAAGAGAGGAACGGAGAAGTGGGATTGAGGTTCTTTTTATATAAAACATGTAGTTCTGTACTCTGTATACTCCCTTTATATGCACAAGATCAAACTAAAACCACTAGTCACTTCCCTTCATCTCCGAGTGGAAAGATGCGAACAGCGGTCAGAGATGAAAGAGAGAAGTAAGAAATTTTTTTTTTAAAAAAAAATTCGAAAAATTTGAAGAAACCCATCAAACCCATGTCAATCCCTTGCAAATCTCCGCTTCACTACCGTCCACATTTTTTTTTTCTTTTCCAAAGCTTCAAGATCTTACACCGCTACGGTGGAATGGGAATACTACGAAGATAAGGCATAATGCAGGCCGACTGGCAATTGCATTATCTACCGTGATCTATGCGGAGACATTGATTCGGTCCACATGCTTCTCGGTTTACGAACTATTTAGGAAACTCTATGGAGAAACGGGAACTGTTCTACGGAGTAACAAGCAGAAAAAAAAAAAGAGGAAGAAACTATGAAGGAACAGAAGAGAAAAGAAAGGAAGAACACCCTGAGCTAATTAGGGCCCGATCCTGCGGTCAACTTCCCGGAGATATGCCCCTGTTGTCTCTGATCTTGACCTATCAAACCGGGTCTAGGAAGTTCCCTGTCGAGTCAATGCACCGGGGTGTCATTTCAGGCTTGAGATTTAACATCCAAGGTCCTTTATTTTACAATTGTATTCCATAGAACTGATTCATCTCCCCGAGTCCAGTCAGGCCACCTTATAATTGACAAGCGGTGAGATTGAGAGGGTTAGATGTGTACGGAGTATGTTGACCTGCCCTAGACAAGGTATAAGACTAAAACTTAAGATCCCACTAATCAGAAAAGCAAAGATACGTGAATCTCGGGGACTCTGGGATATAGGACTCCGTACGGGAGTATGTTGTACTTCCAGATTATTCCTTGGTCACCTGATGACCCCGACATCATCATATCTACTCCGTACACCATCTACACATCGATACACCCAACACACACTGTCTTATCACTTGACTTCACATTGCATATGATCCAGCACATCTCAACATGTCCATCTGCACCCGTAAACGGGATTTGGTCTATCTTCTCTTTTTTGTCATCCATGTCCCGATCATTCTCTGTATGGTTCTCTATCTTCACGGCGTTGAACCAGGACTGACACGGACACAGTAATCGACACAGTCCCCCTTCTACCACCCATTCTCCAAACAAACCTCTCTCACCAGTTACGCGAATTCTACATAACAACCTACCGCGATAAATTCTTCGAAGATCCCCCAATATGGTTCACCGTCTTCATCTGGATGGAGCTGCTGTACCACCTCCCACTTTCCATATGGGCAACTCGGGGTTTGCTTGAAGGTAATTTCCCCTCAAATTTTTTTAAATTTTTTTTTCAAGCTTGTGCTCGTACATCACACAGGTTATTCTGTATGTTTCCTGTATCCTGGTCTATCCTATATCACATCTAATCTACATATCTATCTCAAATGCAATATCTGGGGATCCGACTACATCCCTCCGGCCCCTTTTGATCCGAATCGGGAATCACATCAGGACCCAAAAAATTGATTGCCACGAGCACCCAACTTACACGATTTCTACTTCATCTAGGCCACCCCCTCGTCCCTGTGCACCTTCTCGTCTTCGGCATCCAGGCCTTCATCACCACCCTGACATCTCTGGTGGTGATGTGGAGTTGGACTGACCGCTCGGCCGCGGAGAAGCAGCAGCTTACCATGCTGTATGCTCCCTATCTGGCGTTAGGTATGTGCCGTCCCAAGATGTACGATAATAACATCGCAATTGGCTACTCACACAAGATAGGCGGGTTCATGGCTCTAGACATGGTATTCCGTCTACGCGACAAACTAATGCCGAAAAGCAAGCGGGAGTAAATCTCACACCTACATGTATACACCTGTCCAGACCCACGGACTGTGCAGAATTGAAACCAAATCTAGTATAATGCAGCCAGCGTTATAATCGTACACATCGTTACGTGCTTTGATCAAATCTCGCTAATCCAAGTTCCCATCCCGACCAAAACGCCCTTGAATGTAAATGCAGAAAGCGCAATAGATCAAATCAAAAATCCGATCGCCCCTTCCAAGTCTCCATGTGCCATGTCCAAAGCGCGGACGGCTTCATCGCGTGAGAATCCCAGCTCTGTAATCCTGGCAATGGAGTCTTGCGGCCACCGCGAAGTGGGCGCAGGCCGGATATTGATTCTGGGCTGTGACCCGGACGCAGATGAAATCTTGGGAGTGGCATTGGCATTGGGATTGTTTTCCGCTTTATGCGTGACCGCGCCGGTGCGGGCACCCACTTCGGCACCGTCGGCGCCCTTGACCGTAGGCTCGGCTTCGAATTCCTCGGTCAAGTGCTTGGGGATATCGCCCTCACCGAGGAAGGGGACAGCCTGGTCCTGAATGACGAGTGCACCGCGCCGGAGATCGATGCAGGCCTGGTGGCGGCGCAGCATGTCCAATCCCAGAAGCAGGTCGATCTGCTTGCCTTCCATTACGGTAAAGGAGCAGGGCAGGAACATCTCGCCGATCTTGATCTGGGCGGAGTGCACCCGGCCCAGGATCGGGGCGGTCCCGACGCCCTTGGCGATACCGCCGTAGCGACGATCTACCAGACGCATTATGTTACACGATGTTGCACATTCGGGTGACATAATGGTCACTTGAGCACCGGAGTCGACAAAGGCGTTAAGGCGGTGACCGTTCACTTCGACGGGGATGTAGAGCATTGTCACGCGACCGAAGGCTAGAGAAACAGATTGTGGTTAGCTTTTGATTCATTTTCCAGCAGCCTAGCAGGCTGTTCGAGGACGTAGAGCAGACACTCAGGATGATGCTCCATGGCATTATGTAGATTTTCCGTAACAGCATTCTGGCGAATAATCTCCTCGATTTCCTTCTGGTTATCGTGGTTAAACGGATCGGCATTCAGCATCGCAATGCGAGCTTCCTTTTCCGCCTCTCGCTGCGCCTCACCCTGTTGCTGCCTAAGCAGGACCTCACGGAAGCGCTGAGCATCATCCGCAGCTTCAGACAGTTCCGGGTTCTGCCTGCGCACGGCCTCGCGGACGCGGGGATCACCCAAAATATGTAAACGAATAGTTTCGGGGTCCGGCATGCCGGGGCGGGGTTGAATATTCTGCCTGGGTGCGACGGAGCTGGAAGCGATGGGGCGAGTGGCTTGGGGTTGGGGAGCTCGGAGGGTGACGTGCACACCGAGCATATCGCCCTCAGTGATGCCGGCTTGGTCTAGGGTTAGGGTAGGGTTCTGGAGGAGCTGGTTGTTGTAGACAAGCTGTTGGGCTTCGGGTGGGATAGTAGTTTCACTTTCGACAATGGCTTTGAGGAGCTCGATTGACATATCGCCGCCCACTTCTAGGTTGATGATGTCCGAGTCCGCCTGCTCTGGGTGGATGACGTTAACGGTGATACGCATTCTGGCGGCAAGGATGTCGAATAGGAAGAGGGGGGTATAGAGGTTAAATAATCGAGAAAAATAGAGACACAAGATGGGAGAATCCGAAGTAGAAACCGGGAGAGAAAGGAAAGATTAATAAAGCGGGAAGGGAACACCTGACTCTTCAAGCTCTCTCTTTCTCCAAGGTTCTCCCTTACATCCACTCTATTTCTGTCACTGTTCGAATCAGAAATGGGATAGACTTTTATCTCGACTCTAGTTCTGCAGCTAACACCGTCTCGTACATCCATGACCTTCTTCCACCTATTGCATATGCGTCATGAGCCCCGCGATGAGCCGTTTAGCTCATCCCCCAACTGCCCCCCCCCAACAGGCTAACGAATGGTCCTTATCCGTGTCACCGCCAGGAAACCTTTGGAAGTTGTTGGATATAGTAATTGCGCCTTGAATTTGCATTCTCTATTCTTTACTCTACGGTCACGACCGAACTCCCACAAACCCCCGGGGTTTAGTTCCCAGCAATGGCCTCAATCGTACCTTTGTCAATCTACTCCAGCGGGGCTACCTAGTCCGCACTGCCTGGGAGCCCTGAGGCTGGACCGGCTATTTCAAAAGCACGTCGCTTCGTGTCTGTTGTCCTACCAGACTAGCCCCAACCCCGACTCCCAGGCTATCCGAGGGTGTCGCAGCTGTCGCGATTCATCGTTCAGACCCCCGCACTAGTCGATACATGCAGGGAACTTTAGCCACGCTCTGAGGCTACCAAATGCAGCTCAGGTAGGTAGCTGCATGTATTCATCCTGCACCAGTTCAAATTTGCAACAGATGTAACCACGCAGAACAGTTTTGAGACGTCAAACGTTCAACTGGGGTGAGGACAACCAACTGGTTCAAGAAGTTCCCGACTATGATGTAGCTAACCGTTTTTGAGATGACCGTCTCTAGAGCCGTGCATTAGTGCTAATGTCTCAGATTGACTCCATTTACTTTAACGTCGATGGATTAGGCATGGCGCCAGCTCAGGATTTCTAAAGGAATTTCTTAGGTCAGTTTCTGAAAATCTATGAATAGGCTGGCTTCTAGTTCCCACCCGCATTAAAATTTTATCCCTCCTAACCCCGCCAAACAGAAGATTTGTACAAAGAGACACGGCTCGGTTTCAAGTGGACATCCGTCGTGATCCGAAAATCCAGCCAGCGCATTTCTTTCCTCTAGTGCAGTTCAACTGACGTTGTAACAATGATGCACTGCGTTCGCCCTAATCATGCTGATATCTCGAATGTGCCGATGAACAGCTGTTGTCTGTTTGACTTTGCATCTAACCCCGCAGAGCAGATCCTGTAGGATTTCTATGTATCTAGCCAAGATTACTTGGATTGACTTGGATTGGAGAGGAACATCGCCGACTTGTGTGATTCAACAACATAGGTGGAATTTGACTTGAATCAAGCTGCAAGCTTTCCATGCGCATAGCCGACGGGATACCGGGGATCCCCGACCCCACTAACCACCCTGGCGTCGATCACTTCGTCAATAGGAATCTAGCCCGGTCGAGAGAGACAACATAGAGGGACTCGACTCAACACACATTGTGAGCCACATGGCATGCCACATAACTTGAATTAATGTGACCTCTGCGAGATTGCTATCACTGAGAGCCTCTTTAAAAAATGGCATGTTGCCGTTTATAGGGCGGTACATAGGCGTGCGACGATGTTGTCTAGGCTAGTGGGGTTTGGGGGGACGCTTTAATAGGTCTCACGGTGGCTGTCGTCGTCCCTGTGCACGTCGTAGTCGGTGACGGAGAGTGGGCCACGGCTTTAGTCATTGGAGAGGTACGTATGTAAGTAGGTACCAATAGCGAAGATCGAAAACCGTGGGGAACCTGTACTATTTAGGAGAGCATACAGTGCTGTGTGGGTATCAACATTCAAACATGTAGGGCTTTGTCCGCTCCCATCTGGCCCCGCATTCAAAGGTACAACAGACACTTACACTGGAATCTCCGCATATAATTATCATCTTTCTACTTCAACTTCCCCACTTTCCCTTGATCGAAGGCGGCCTCCATAAAAACAATTGATAGAAGATCCTAAGAAACAGGTGGGGGTCTGATTGGATGCGACATACGACGATCTATTACGCCGGAAGTAGCTGGGAAGAGATGGTCTATCTGACTATCAGAAAAGACAGCCAAGAAATTGTATTTGAGATTTGTTTTCTGAAAAGGTTGTGAGACTATTCGCAGCCACATAGTAGTACGCGTGGTCTACATTGGTTGCTCGATCGGACAGCGGAAATGGAGAGTATTCCAAAAAGTCTTCAATCATAACGTCGTAGTAAGAAATTCTGGGCTGAGAAACTGTAGAGCAAAGGCACAAAAAAGGAAAAGAAAAGAAACGATTCTCTCTGATAAGCAAAGGAAAATATCTGAAAACTCCTTGTTTCCACCGCTAGCGAGCAGCGATACTTGGGAAGAAGCGCGGACCTGCATACCCGTGTGCGATGATCCTTTCAATATCAATATTCCCGTGGGCTCGCGGGCTCCACAGCTTAATGAGAATGAATCGGCCAGAGCTTAAAAGGTCAATATTCGGCTACCCAGAGGAAAGACTTGTAATACATACGGAGGCGGATCAAATTTGATGGTAACCATGCTCTTCTCTCGCTCGATAAAAAAGCGCGCATGGGGCTTCAAAACTTCGGCAGTTGCATGAACAGGCTCGGCTGGGGGGTTTGGATGCACGAGACTCGGGGTATGGCGCAGTCTTTGCTCGGAGACACGGCTAAGTGCTCCCAGTCGTTCCGATTCAACTTGTCGGCGACGCGGATGTCTGCTGGAAGGGTCCTCCTCATCGCTTGGACTCTCATCGGTATCCGATAAAGGATCTTCCGTTTGTTCAGCCTGGGTTCTCTCGAGCAATGCAGAGCGCCAATTGTCGTCATCTCCAGAATCTTCATTATTCTCATCGTACTCGGTGATGATGCGGAATTGCGCTTGCGGGTCTTCTGCGGTATGCGGAACCGCAACTGAATGTGGGCTCATGAGGATTGTGCGTTCGAGGAGTTGGAGTGGTGGTCGGAACCCAGTGAGGTATTCCTGCGATGGTTGCATGCCACTGCGGCGGCCAGTGCGGCGGTATCGGCTGTTGGAGTATTGAATTTGGTATTGGGCGGTGCGGGCAAGCAGTTCATCAGAGGTCATCGCGACAAAGACCATGCCTTCTTGTATTCTGGTTCAGTTAGCCACAATTAGCTATCAGTCCAACGTATAGCCACGTCTGGTGGACATACGGAGCATCGAACCCGCCTTGGGGTGCTCTGATGACGATCTTCTTCAAGCAAAACGGGGCCTCGCCCCGATGGCAGAGGACCAAGTTGCAACGAGCTTCTTTCGTAGAGTAGACACTTGTATTGTTGTCCAAAACGTTCTCTGGACGCGAGCACGCACTATCCGGATCGTAGCTTCCTCCGTCACAGCTAGCGATTTCCATTTGCAGCATTCCCGGTACGACTTGTCCATATTGACCATAGTTGAAGCCTCGAAATTCCTCACGGTGATCGTCAGTGTCCAGCTTCCGACGCTTCATTCGTCCTTGGCCATCACGGCCCGACTGACCGGATGGTGGCATGGGGGATGGCGACCTGGATAAAGATCCGTCCGGGCTCGGTGGTCTGAGCGTTTGCCAGGGTAAACGATAGTGAACAGAATTTGACTCCGGTGAAAGCGAGGTTCGAGCCCGTTCTGAGTGAAGCTGGTTGATCCAAATGCCCCGAACTGGCTCCGTGGGGCCAGCTGTCTCGAACTGTAGTTGGATCTGGCGATCGACGTCGGCTTCGGCTTGCTCAAAGTTGATCCGATCGCGAACTCGGTCCAGAGAATGCTCCGCGACTTCTCGGTTGATTGTTTCCAGGGCAAGGGTGGCGTTATAGGCGTTGTGGGCACCGGAGCGATTTCGTTCCGATACGAAATTGCGGAGATGCTGGAGACGAAGGATCTCAGGGCGTTCGTCAGGTCTGGTAGTACGGGATGTGTAGCGAGAGGAAGAGGAAGAGGAAGAGGAAGAGGCACGAGGATAATTGTAGTTCCCTGACTAAAGGGGGGCGTAAGACATCAGTCAGACGCATAGGGAGCCTTGAAAGACATACCATCACTCAGGCTCGTTGGTACCGCTAGAGAGGTGGAGTTACCTATGTCGGGTTAGGGGCTTGGGGCTAGGGTTACCGTTAAGGCACCGACCCGACAGAAAATAGAAGAACCCAAATAGATCAATGCAGAAGTAAAATAAGAAGTTCTCTAGAGATCAACCTTGTGAGTTGCCCAAGGTCAGTAACACGTGATGGCCGATTAGATCATCGATAGTGGAGTGCCCAGGTGAACCTTAAGAAGCTGCAAGTCCCTGGTTATGCTAAACATCTCCAAGACCATAAAGATCAATTACAAGGCACAAGGCCGAGTGGCCGACTATGTCTTATTCATCATACTCAAAGATTTCACAAAGTTCATTGTTCTGACTATTTCCTTCTACCCCTTCGGTTTTTTTGGTGCTAATTCCTTCATCGGGCATGGGGTACTGGCTAGTTGTGTCACTTAGCCGGTTCTTTGACCTCATTATTTCTATGACAACGAACCAGGGCTGTGAAAGTGGCGGTCCTCTTTGGATGCAAAAAAGAATGCCCGATCTGATCTATCAGAGATGATGGCATCTCTTAACCCAACTATGGCTCAAATGCCCATATGGGCAACAGGAGGAAGGGAAGCTCGGTAGAGATGGTCTACAACCCAAAGGATTGTAACATATCATTCGTTCAACGTAGGTAATATAGACAAACATACACCTTGATGAACTTTACTAGGTGGTGTGTTCATTACATATGAAGTTAGCCAAATCCTTACAAATTGACTGGGTTGATGACTGGGCATCTCAATGTGCCTGGTGATCTATTAAATCACAAAATCACATGCACCCAGGCAACTTGTCTTGTTCATGCTGTATTGAGCATTCCATGTTGATTCTTCCCTGTTCCCATTTAACTGAACTTTTCGATTTCAAACGAATCGATCTCAATAAGGTTATACATGAAACAGTCTAGTTCACAAGCCTGTTTCACTATTTTCTGTAGTCTCTGAAACTGAGAAGGGCAAAATTTAGATGTTCGCATCCGGTTGGTGTGAACTTCTTGGTCCCCACGGCTCCACATGATAGCTCCCGGGTCACCTGACATTTAAACCCATCTGAACTTCTACAACTTCACACCTCCAGCTATTGTGGCAAATCGTATTCAGTCACCTAGTTGATATTTCTCACTCGCCACAAAACTCCCCGAAACACACCTGTGGGGCTTCAAATTGCCAACCTCGTACCTGGGCAAAATTATACTGTTATCTCAACCACTTGATCGAAACTATGGCGGAGCAACAAGATGATTTACAGCCAATCAGCGCTGGTATGGCCAATAAATAGAATCTGACCCAACCCTTACTCACTTTGCTAGATGAGATCGCGCTGTACGACCGACAGATCCGGCTGTGGGGAGTGCACGCACAAGAAAAGTGAGCTATTCAGCTCGCAAAACACCCACCAATTCTAACAACAGCTAGAATCCGATCGGCGAACATCCTCCTCATCACCGTGAAAGCTCTTGCAAACGAAGTGGCCAAAAACCTCGTCCTGGCGGGCATCGGCTCACTCACCATAATCGACCACCAGGATGTTACAGAGGAGGACTTGGGTGCGCAGTTCTTCATCGCTGACGCCCAAAGTGAGCAGGATGTGATTGGAAAGAAAGTGAGCCAGAGCCAAAGCAGAGTTTCCACCAACATCCGCTAACTACTCACTCCAGCGCGCGCAAGTCGCAGGACCGCAAATCCACAAAATGAACCCTCGAGTCAAGCTCAACATCGACACTTCCGATGTCAAAACTAAACAACCCGACTTCTTCGCGCAGTTCGACATCACAATCGCCACAGAACTCGATTTTCTAACCAACACCACCGTGAACGCTGCCTGCCGCCTAGCCAATAGACCCTTCTATGCTGCCGGCCTACATGGCTTCTACGGCTACGTTTTCGCCGATCTCATCAGCCACGACTTCGTGATCGAGCGCAACAAATCCAACATAGCCCCCGCTATCCAAGAAACACCCACCCGCAGCATTATCAACATCACCACCAAAAAAGAGGAAAACAACGCCAACAAGAAAGAACCAAACAAGATCATCGAGCTAGTCACCAAGCGCGAGGTGTATACACCCCTAATCCTCGCAAACACCTCCCCACTACCGGAGGAATACACACGACTCCCACGGCGTCGCAAACAAGTCACCCCATTGCTCAGCTGCCTGCGCGCACTGTGGGAATTCGAAAAAATGCGCGGCCACCGTCCGACCTTTACCCATGAGGACCTGGAACTATTTACAAAGCTATCGCGCGATCGACACCAAGAACTGAAGCTGGAGCCACTCACACTCGACTCTGTGTTCCTGCGGACGTTTTTGCAAAACCTGGGCAGCGAGCTGAGTCCTGTTGCAGCGTTTTTAGGTGGTTCGCTGGCGCAGGATGTTATCAATGTTCTGTCGGCGAGGGAGCAACCGCTGCAGAACATGTTGCTGTTTGACGGAGAGAAGAGCGTTGGTCCGATCTATTCGCTTCATCCATTCTTCCCTGATGTTGGTGCGGTGGAGATGGCTGCTATACCGCCGGTTAGAAACCCGGTTACGGTTCCAGTGGCCGGGGATTTGTGAGTGAAATTCAATTGGCCACAAAAAAAAATTGCAGGGGACAGGTGCTGGGGAATTGGACTAGGGATTGGACTGGGATGTGCTCTTTTCGCATCATAACGAATTTCTTTTTAAACACTCAAAAGCCCGGACTTATCATCATAGAACACGAGCAACCATTGATACCTGAAACTGACATGAAATTGGAGATGATGTACTCATTTGTTCAGATGCATAGTATTAGCTACTCATTCTCAAGGCCATTTAGAACCTGCAATGCTAGTTGAACCCAACCCAACCCAGACGCCGTCTACCGCAGGAGCACAAAATGCACAATATACTTGCAAGGGGAATCTGCAAATCAATGCAAGGCCTCAGTGATCGGCCTCTTCTTTCCCAAGTTCCTCATCGCTATTCTTCCGCGGTCCCATTGAAGGACCTTCCTCCTCATCAGAAATCAAGCCACGGAGCTCGAATGCCTCGGCATCTTGGATCTGCTGCGAGTTTGAGCGCGCATGACCATTCACGTTCCCGTTGAGAGTGGAGTAGATGGGGCCGTCCTGGTTAGTGGACTCGGAATTGGGCCAAGTGTGGACAGCGTAGATGTGGAGGAGGATGTTGACGACTGGAAGGGAACAATGAGTGGCTGTTCTAAGAAAAAAAAAGTGGTGGCCAGGGGATCAACTTACAGAGGAAGACGAGGAAGGCCATGCTGTAAAGGATCAAGATGTAGGCCACGTGGGTGATGCCTGCGTTGTGCAGCATGAGCATTTGTTCCTCGGTGGCGCCCATGAAGAGGAAGCCAGAGGCAGAGAGCAACTGCAGAGGAAGCAAGTCAGTATGAATTTACATACACCACCTTGACCGGAGAGGAGACATACGAAGGGAGTCAAGTATTGGAAGCTGTTCGGCTCGGACAGAGCAGGCTTATCCCTCAGCACGAACGAGATCTCAATGATGCGAGTCAGACCCGCCGCCATCAGGGTGTACCCAAAGAGAGTGTGGACCATAGTACTGATCATCAGCTGCTGGGGGTGAGCGGACATGGCATAGCCAGTCATCATGATGACAATTGCCGGAATGAGGTTACGCTTAGGACGGCCACTGCGGGTACGACTGAGCCACATGCCGAGGAGACCAGCACACCACCAGACAACCCCCATCGTGGTGTGCTGGAGGTCATTGTGAACCCAAGGGGTACCCCACCGGTGCTCGGTAAAAGTGTTAACACAGCCCCAAGCGGCGATGACGAGCGAATCGAAGAACTCCTGACTGCGGCCGGTACGGCGCAACCAGTACTGGCCGACAAGCAAAAGAATAGTCAAGCAGATACCATATGCGATGAATGCAGAGCCCATGATGAAATGGGCCACACACTGACCGAGGTGATCACCGCGGCAGAAGCCGAGCGAGGCAATGCCACCAAAGACCATCTGCGCCCAGCTGAGGACGGGCATGACCTTGCCAACGATACCGTGGGCCAGCACGAAGATCCATCGGATGCGGGCCTGGCCCGCTTTCTCCAGGTGCAACTTGAGATACACTCCGAGGGCGACTTGCGCGACCAGCAAGAACATCAGCCAGTTTGCGACGGAGGCGTGCAGGTTCTTCTCGAATTGGCGACCTTTGTGAGCGTGGCCGAGGAAGTAGGCTAGCACGGCGATGACAGTGCCAACAACTTGTACGGGAACGTGCCAGCGGGAGCGGGTTATCTATTTTATTTTGTTAGAGATGAATGTGATGCTAGAAAGGAAAGAGGTAAGTGAAAGAGTACATACGCCGAGAACCATTCCCGTTGGAAAGATTACACCAAAGGCCAAACCCATGAGAATTATATGAGTCCATAGTATTGAGTCCTGGAATCAATTGTCAGCTTTCTGCGAAGGAAATGGCGAAGTACCACGTACAATAGGATCTTGTGAAATAGATTCGCCCTCCGGTACAGCCTCATGACCGCCATGGGCAAAAGCCAAGGCAACTAATCCAAACACAGTCCATAAGGACTGACGAAGATACGCCATGGTGTGGTTGAAGTAGGGAGTTGAAAGGGAGAAAGAAGTGAACAGATGCGGATAACAGGTAACCTAATCCGGGGCATCCGACTAGGCGGGACCGACGCGTGGAGTCAGGGCAATTATACCTTTGTGATCTCCAGGGCGTTATCCTCAAGTAGGTAGTGACTGATGGATTTTATCATATCACAATCTGAAGAGAAACGACCAGCAAAGTCAGGGATGCGCACGTAGAAACCCTGGAAGCCTTGAGCTGGATTATTCAGCATGGCTGTGATTGGTCAGGAGTATACAATTCGGAGGTACAAAGTACATCAAACAGCTTCTTCTTCGTGCAATGCTCATGTCTCTTGCATCTGACGTATCACACAACACATATGTATATGCGATTAATTGCAATCAATCTCCATGGATTCAGCCACAGAACCCAAGTCTTACAAAGACCAGCAACGAATAGTGCGTCCCCATCATCCCTCGCCTTGCACCCACCCCCCGTCCATCAAATTAAGCACTAAACCCCAACGCAGGCCACCCTTCGCGCTTCGATTGCAAGTCTAGAAGCTAAGCATGTGGATCTAGAAACCAGATTAACTTCAGTGACCACCCAGCTCATGTGAATACTTCCCAATTCCCCCCATCTCATGCAGACCAAACAGGGCACAGCCTTAAAGAACATGGAAACATTGCGTATTGCATCTCTAAATACCGCTTATTTTAGTGACGATCCCAAAACCACGTGTGAGCGCTATACGCAGCGCTTACATGAGTACAATGATATCAAAGATGTCGGGCAGGGGTTGATGGGGCTGCTTGCTGATGCGAGGGGCGTGAGGCAGGTTGAGGTGGAGAGGGAGTTTGGAGTTTCGGAGGAGGATTAAAGGGCTGCACTGCAAGGACTCTACTGATTCAAAGGAGTTGAAATGGGTCGAAGGCGTCTGAAGGAATGGATGGAGTTTGGAGTGAAACCGGGTGGCGTTGAATTGAGATTCATTGTATTCATTCATCTAATCCTACATCCATACTGGATGTGTTTCTTTTTTAGAAACTTTTTTTTCTCATTAATGAGGGAAGACAGCGGACCTCGTTTTTTTCGTGATATGGCCGCTGATAACAAATTATCTATCACAAGAGCGCGGAGGGTTGAAAGGAGGGGAGAAAATTGGAGGAAATGGCGAGGATAAGGTAATCATGAAAGGAAGAAGGGGCATGTGTACATAGAAAAAAAAATTAAGCAAATGAAGAGAATTAACCGGCTCTGCCAAGGGACTGAAGGTTAACCAGCTCGAAGTATCGACCCTGGTTGCGCAAGAGGTCGGTGTGGGTGCCGCTCTCGACGATCCTGCCTTGGTCGAAGACATAGATGATATCAGCCTTCTGAATAGTGCTGAGACGATGAGCAACGGCGATAGTGGTACGGCCGCGAGCAGCAGCGTCCAGAGCAGCCTGAACGACCTTCTCAGACTCCGAGTCGAGGGCCGAGGTGGCTTCATCCAGAAGCAAGACCTTGGGGTTGCGAAGGAGGGCACGGGCAATGGCGACACGCTGCTTTTGGCCACCGGATAACATGCCTCCCTTGCTACCAACGACGGTGTTAAAGCCTTCCGGTAGAGACATGATGAAATCGTAGATGTTGGCGTCTTTGCAGACATTGACCAGTTCCTCTTCGGTAGGGTCGGCGTTGGGGCTACCGAGCAGGATGTTCTCCTTGATAGTACCCTGGTAGAGAGTGGGCTCCTGGCTAACCAGCGCCAGGTGGCTGCGGTAGGAATTGACGTTGAGGTCGGCGATGTTCTTGTCATCCACGTAGACACCGCCGGAAAGGGCATCGTAGAAACGCTCAAGAAGGGCGATGGTGGTACTCTTACCGCATCCGCTAGGACCTACCAAGGCGATGTACTGACCAGGCTTGACGGTAAGGTTCAAACCGCGGAGCACGGGCTGCTCAGGACGGGTAGGGTAGCGGAAGTGCACGTCCTTGAACTCGATGGTTCCTTCGCAGTAGTCCAAGGTCTCGCCTTCCTCGGACCATGTGTCAATGGTGGGCCGACGCTCGAACAGCCGAAGGAACTCGGCGGCGGCGTTCTTGGCCTTGCCCATATCCGGAGAGAACGAGAACACTGTCCCAGCGGATTGAGCACCGAACAAGATTTCACTGAAGCAGACAAAGAAGCGGAACACGTCGTATTCATGGTGACCGAGCAGGGTTCCGCCATACCAAAAGCCAAGAGCGACACAAAAGAAGACCATGGCCTGAGATGCTGCATACAAGGACGATGACTTGAAAACTGAGATCAAGCTAATGCGACCCTGGCGCTCGAGTTGACCATGGTAGAATGCCCAGACATCAGTCTCGCGGGTAAGCGAAGCTACAGTGCGAATGGCAGATGTAGCCTCGCAGGCGTAGCTAGCTGATCCCTCATAGGCCACTTTGGACCGTGCCTGGAACGCGGCAAGCATGTAGAAGCGGTAGAAGCCGCAACCAAGGAGAATCGGAATGACAGACATGCAAACGAGGGCAAGCTTCCAACCGAAAGAAAGCGCGATCACAATCGACGCGATAAGAGTTGTGGAAGTCATAAGAATTGTTCCCAGAGTTTGACCGCTAATGCCGGCCAAGTGCTTGGTTTCAGTTGAGAGGAATGAAGTTAGAGCACCAGTACTATTCTCCTCACGATCGAAGAAATTGATATCCTGTCGGAGCATGACTCTGAAAGCATTGCCGCGGGCCTTGCGAATGAGTCTCTCAGAGCTAAAGGCGAACGCGATTCCGTTGGTCGAGAAAGTAATGATTTGAACGATACCAACAATGAAGAACATCAGAGACCAGAAGTTGGCATCAGATCTCAGCTTGTCATACTGGCTTTTTGGCAAGGAGAGTGAGCTGATTGCTTTGGCATACAAGAAAGCTTGAGTGGGTTGTCCGCAACCGGCAAGAATCGAGAAGCAAAGACCAATGGCCATAATCCATCGCTCTTCCTTGTTAAACGAGCCAATAAACTTGATTAGAGTCAAAAGCGAATACTTCTTGCCGCCTTCAGCTGTCTTTTGCGAGAGCACAACACTGGACACGGACTTGCGAGACTCTTGGCGATACATGGCATCCTGGACTGTTTCGGAATCGTCCTTCATACTAGTCGAGCCACTGGCAATTGACTTGACACATGCATTTTGAGACTTGGTCATGTTGTCGATGTTATCCTCACCCTCATCCACGTCCAAAGCATCCGCGTCCTTCTCCTCATTGATGCGCTGAGCCTCGACAAGCTTGAAGTAAGGACCGTCATGTTCAGTCAGTTGGGCATGGGAACCCTGCTCAACAATGGATCCGTTGACAAACACAACAATGTTGTGCGCAGACTTGATGGTAGACAAACGGTGGGCAATGACAATAGTAGTGCGGCCCTCGGCGGCACGATCGAGCGCTGCCTGGACGACACCCTCGGATTTGGTATCGAGAGCGGAAGTGGCTTCATCCAGAAGCAAGATCTTGGGGTCGCTGACCATAGCACGAGCGATGGCGATACGTTGCTTTTGGCCTCCAGACAGCAAGAATCCACGCTGGCCGACGTTGGTCTCATAACCTTCCGGAAGAGCAGTCACAAAGTCGTGAGCGTTGGCCATCTTGGCGGCATTCTCAATGAGCTCCCTGATCTTTTCCTCGGACTCATGCTCAAAGCGTGTTCCAATGAGACCGTGGCGAATATTTTTGTAGATAGTCGTGCCAAACAGAACAGGTTCCTGGCTTACCAGGGAGATCTGCTGGCGTAGCCATCGCAGATTGAGAGTCTGGATGTCATGGCCGTCCAAGAACACCTGACCGCCTACTGGAAGATAGAACCGCTCGACAAGACCGACGACAGTGCTCTTGCCAGAGCCTGAGGGGCCAACCAAGGCGGTAGCTTTGCCGGCAGGAATGGCGAGGGAAACATCCTTCATCACGGTGACTTCTGGACGGGAGGGATAGATATGTTTCACATTGCGGAACTCGATGTGACCTTTGACGTGATCAAGGACGATTCCTTCATCAGAAGTAGGGTCTAGCGGAGATTCACGGTCGATTGTCGCAAAGATCTTGGTAGCGGCAGCCACAGCATTGGTAAATGCCGAGGCGTTCGGGCTGACATTGCCCAAGGAGAAAGATCCGATAAGAATAGCCATCAAGATGGTCAGAACGTGCCCAACATCAACCTTGCCCTGCACCAGGAATCGGGAGCCCATCCAGAATCCGAGGCCGTAGTTCATGAACATGAGTCCGAACATGATGCCGACCATCACGGCGAGACTCATTTGCAAGCGCATGCCCCAGCGCTCTGCGCGAAGCAAGTGAGACTCGTACTGTTTCGCAAGCTTGTCCTGAGTTCCGAATGCGGTCGCATTTCGGATCGAGCTGATGACTTCCTCAGCCACAGTTCCACCGGCCCCAGCGCTTTCTAAGGAAAGCTTGCCGTATTTGACGATCAGTCGGGAGCCTCCGCCCATGATCACGACCAGCGCGACCATGGTCGAAGTACATATGCCAGCCAAGGGTGCATACTTAATGTATGCAACTACAAAGGCAGTCACGAAGGTGGCGACGGCAGTGAGGGTTAAACCGACCTTTTCGGAAATCCCGTCCTGAATGAGGTTGGTGTCGGCTGTAATGCGGGTAGTTACTTCACCGGCACCAAGCTTGTCGAAGTAGGCGATATTCTGGCGTAGGATGGCTTCGAGGTAGTGCTCCCGAATCTTCTGGGTGACATGCTCTCCTGTGTAGATGAAACCCACGGTGCTGACGTAGACGGTGACAAATTCTCCGATGCCGAGATAGACAAAGTATAGGACGTTGCTGGTCAACCGATGGTAGAATTCATCGTAGGGGATAGTGCGGAACACAATCTTTTGGAAATCTGTAGTCAAGGAGCCAAAAAGAACGGTGAAGAGGGGCAAGGCAGCACCGGCGGCGATGGCGCAGAGTGCGCTAATGGCAATGATGAGTATGTCGATGCGGGAAGCATATCGATAGAGACCGAAGTAAGAAATGTTGACGAGAGGCGCATCTAACTGTCGTTTCAGGATATCCTTTTCATGTTCGGGCAAGTGAGCATAGAGAGCATCTTCGTCTGTCGCGACTGGCGTCTTCGTTTCGTGTTCCTTTGCTGTCGACTTGGAAGCGGAATCGGAGTCGCGCTTGTCGATGGGCTTCTCGTTACGCCGAGGGTCCTCCACCACCTTCTCAACGGCCATCATACCCTCCTCAGGCTGCTGCATATTGGAAATGTTGGGGAGGGGGGTGGGGGGGTTGTTTGGATCTCTACTCCATGAAGAACTGGTTGCAGATGAGAAATAATCAGAAGTGAGATCTGAAGAGTTAAAGAAACACAACAATGCACAAAATTAGGATTATTAAGAGATGTAAAGAGTTATAGAAATTAGATTAAAGGGTAAAAGAGTAATGATTTACGAAAGGGGGAAAGGGATAACAGATCTAAATGTCTTTGGCCGTCTTAGATCATACTTGCCTGGGTTTTTCTGCGGGTCGGGGGAGTCCGAACTCCGCGTCAACAGTTTGGGTCAATCGTGGTCTTATCTCCGTTCTATGTCCTCTGCAAATCGGTTTCAACACAGGGCAAAACTACACATTCCTATCACATTCCTCGAGGGGATCCCTTGAACGCCCCCCTTGGGGATGACCTTACAGTCACGAGCTGCTTAATATTGGACTTGCTTGACGCAGGTCCAGTATAATTGGGGCATGTTGATCTTAATACATGCACTGTCTGTGGAGTACGTATATATATTAAATCATGACGCGAAACACGAAAACGAATACGACCACCTGACTCATCTACGACTCCGTATGGGGTCAAACCCCGAATTTGGATCTTCCACTCTTTTTGTATCGGCCACCTTGTCTGTCCGATGTCCGCCGCTTTGACTACTAAATTGGGTCCATTTGCCTATCCCGTACTCCGTACCCAGGCCTTGATTGGTTGGTTATGTCTTGGATCTATACCGGGGCCGGTTCTTTATAGATTAAAGCGCTGGTCCGTTCAAGGACAGTACTGAAGTTCAAGCCTGGTTTAACCACAAGCTTGATATCTGTAAACACGTGAACCAATGTCCTAAAGACATTCCGCCCTTTCAATTCACCACCTTTCGTCCTCACTCATCACGACATAAGTCCTCGAAACTTGATCCCCGACCCCAATGGAGAGGTGTGGTTGATTGACTGGGCGTATGCCGGTGCATATCCGCCTGCCTTTGAAAGTGCTGCGTTGGTGGCCAAGCAATTTTTTACTAGCTTCAATGAAGCAGTCTTGTCTCTTAATCCACGGTTTCCCAAGGAAGAACGGCAACTTGACTCTATTGCATATGGGTTGATTACTGCTGCATTGGCCTGACAAGATTATTGTGACTTTGTGACTTTGTGACTTTGTGACTTTGTGACTTTGTGACTTTGTGACTTTGTGACTTTGTGACTTTGTGACTTTGTGACTTTGTGACTTTGTGACTTTGTGACTTTGTGACTTTGGGCTGTTGTTGTATTGCTCCAAATCTGAAATCCACGGCTTACGAGATTCCGTACCAAGGGCTCCAGGGCTAGCTTGCTCATACCGTAGTACAAATCAGGACATTGCAGAACGCAAAGTTGTAGCTCGAGTGTTTATGACGATCCTGATGGCTACCGACCAATTCACAAGTTGCAACAAGCCAGTGTGCACATTTGGACCCTCGCAGAGCTCGACCCGTGGACCCACTTTGCCCAGGTGGTTCTTGCCTAGTTTGTTTCTGTCCTACCGCCTTGCCGCCTCAGGCCCCAACAAAGCATCACCTGACACAACCGAAGCGAAGCCAAGCCCTGCCGCACACAAACCATCCACACTCGAAGGTCGAGAACTTCATCCGTCCATCCAACAAGCTCGCCGTCGCGATCAAGCCTTCAAGATGCCGGTATGTTACCACCCTTTTCACGTCATTCTCGAAAAAAATCACTCTCGCCATCGTCGCCGTCTCCCTTCCCAGTCAGACCTCTGAAAAATTGAGAGACAAAAATTTAACCCGTCATTTTCCACACAGAGCAACAAGACCTTCCGCACCAAGCAAAAGCTTGCCAAAGCTCAGCGTCAGAACCGCCCCATCCCCCAGTGGATCCGTCTGCGCACCGGCAACACCATCAGGTAAATCGCACCTTTGTTTCGAGATCCAAATCCGTCTTTCCAAATCCGACCGTCATGTGGGAAGTGTGATATAGGAAAGCGAGATGGGAAGGGGACATGCATAGAACCATCCACCCGCCAACCCTGTTAATCCAACCATGGAGGAAAAGAGACAGCCTTTGGCAAACCGAATCGAACACATGGCTGATCCTATGCTGAAACAGATACAACGCTAAGCGCCGACACTGGCGTAAGTCGACCCTGAAGGTCTAAGCGGACCTTCAGTACTCGCACCCTCCGTCCGGCCATTCTCAAAAGCCCCAGTTCAGCTCGCGATGCCATATGGCAACCGAAGTATGTCTGTGCGGGGTGGTTCAAGGGTTTTTGATTCTTTCGAACCCCTTTTCATGATGTGACGCCCACAACCGAATTTCGAACAACATGCCTTCACCATGAACTTGAGAGCGCTAGTGGATTGTGGAACTACTCTTGAGTGCAATTGCAAACAAAAAATTCAATTATCAAATCTTGATCCAGGTCTTGCTTCGGGTCGTGCCTATCTCGCCTTTTTTTATATTCTTAATCTTCCAATGGGTCGTCCTTGTCTTCCTCCACGGTTCCGAGTGGGGATATGATGGATTTCCAACACGCCTGATTTGTCGATATGGATGGCAGGCCTGGATTGTGTTTGCAAAAGGTTCTGTTGCTGTTGGGGGGCTGATCGTCTTCTTGCTGAGGGCGGGCTTGTAGGACTGGCGAGGCGGGGGATTTTCTTTTTTGATACAAGATCCGATTGAATCGAATTGAACTTCCTTTTGCCTGACTTTTTGGGATGGTCTTGATGGCCGTAGATCTTTATCTTTGATCAGGGCGTTGCATGGCAACATTGCGATGCAGTTTGTTCCTGATGGTGTTACTGTCTGTATCACGCCTTGTAACATAGTCTTGGGCCTGTGTATGCCCTCGATCATATTTTACAACTTGACGATCGTCATCATAGTAGGATTCCGAGCAAGGATCGGTTTGATGACCCCGCCATCCAATGCTACTGGGTTCAGGGGGGTTCTGTAACAAATGTAATTGCTAGGCTAGCGATTTTTTCCCCAAATCAAATCTAACAATCTTGCAAGAAAAATAGCCCCCAAAAAAATAACGCCCCAAAAGGTAACCACCCTACTAGACATCAAGGGCTACGCTGCACATCGTCGTAATAAGCCGGGAGGATATCATTTTCTGTTTTAAAAAAGAGAACAGACATTAAAATCATCATTTAACGACTAGGGTAGACATGTCAGCACAAGTTTCATCTAACAAGGTTTGTAGAAACTTACTCCTCGGCCCACTCGTTCTCGCGGCGGATCTGGTCCTCCTCCTCGGGAGTAAAGTCATTCTGAATGTTGAAGGTCTTACGGATCTCTTCTGGGGACTTGCCCTTGATCATGTTGGCGACGGTCTTGCAGCCAACGTCAAGGAGGGCCTTGATGTCCAAGTAGTTTGCAGCCTACCAGCAGTCAGCATGTATACCGAAGAGGAAGTGTGAAAATGAAACGTACGAGGATGATCTCGAAGAGCATTTCCTGGTCGACCTGCATAAATTTCTGGTCCCACTCATCAATGTCGGTAGTCTTGCGACGGTTGTCATCGTCATCGCTGGCGCTGGGAGGGTCGTTCTTGTGGTGCTCGCACCACTCGATGACCTTCTTGAGGACGGCCTCGTTGACCTAGACAAAGAGATGTAAGCGTCTAGTCCTTGGTCCCATATATCTTGGGGTAGACACTTACATTAGGGATGGGAATGGCCTCTCCAGAGTCTCCAAGGTCCTCAAGCATGTTTTTGATCAGTACAGAGCGCTCAGCAGTGGTGCGATCTGTTCGAAATCTGTCAGCGCCACTTGCAGCAGCATTATGCGTGGAAGTTGTACCTACCAACAGAGATATCAACTCCATCGGAGCTGGTGAGGGTGATAGCGCTCATGGTAATGGTGTGCAGATGGAATCTAACGTTCAGGTGAGGTTAGCTTTGCTGGTCGCTCTTGAACAGTGCGGGGGTGTTTCAGTGGCGGGGAAGTTACTATTGAAGTAGAAAGGGAAGGCGTGTTGGATTTATCGTGGGGTTTGAAAGAAAACTCAGTTTTCAGGATGGGTATGTCCGAAGAAAGATAAAGGTTGAAAATGACGAGGATGTAACGAGTAGATGAGGTTTATGAGGTTCTGGGTTACCAAAGGCGGTATCCATGAATAAGGCCAACAAGGCTCCATAGCTCCCCCCCCCCGTCTTTCCTCTGAACTCTTACAGTTGCCTAAATTATATTGAGTGCTTTGACTCATTCTTTCCAAAAAGGACAAACTGATCATAAACATACTAGTAACTTGCTAATATGGGGACAGTTGGGAACCTATAGATGCTGCCTACAGTCCCCTGGCTTGACTCTGTACTAAGCCAACCAACGGCGAAAGATTTTAGTTTTAGCAATGTACTTTGAAACAAGTGAATAGATAGGATTAATTGTAACGAAACGTCATTCTGGGCAAACGATGTTCTGGATTGTTATCTTCGTTGTAAGAATGTCAATTCAACTATGGTATCTTAGTGTGGCATACTGTGTCGAGATACGATCAATCACATTTATAACGACTTGAATGTATTGCCGTTAACAATCATGGATATGTCCAGAGTGCTCAGTATTATTTTTTTTACCAAAAAAAAAGGGTAATCCTACATACAATTGAATATATTGTACGGAGTAGTCCACGAGGAATGGACTGATCTAATGAGCTCCACTTCAATTTGCCGGTTAACGCTAAGACTGTGATATCATTGTCCAATACGCGTTTGCTTTCTCTCTTCCTAGTCCATCCTCTCCCCTTTCTTTTACTCTTCATTCCTTAGCATTTTCATTCTTTTCATTCCTTCTAATAATGTTCCCGGGTTTTTATAACCATGTGGCGTCGAACATATTTACTGTTGTTGGTGATTCGCGTGTACTTTGCGCTGTCACCAAGCTATCTACATCCCGATGAGAATTTCCAAGGCCCAGAGCTTTTTGCAGGTGTGTTTAACTGTTCAATTATCGCCTGACCAATCACGATCAGCCCGCGACTGCACAAACATGTGGAAAATATCGGTTGCAACTTTTCCTACCGCAACGACAAGGCGCGATCCTGCAGTCCCGCGACTCCCCAATACGAAGGGGGAAAATATTGACCAGATTGCCCACACATAGGTCGCATATTCCCATTTCCTTCAAAGCTACCATGGGAGTTCACTGTTGAACACCCCATCCGCAGCATATTCCCACTATGGGCATCCTACGAGCTTCCAATGTGCCTCTTGAAATGGTTCTATACTGAGATCGGGTCGGGTAGCCCCCCACCCGACTTGGTTTACTATGCGCTGCGCGGTGGAATGTTTGTACTGAGTTTTGTTTTGGAGGACTGGGCGATCTATGAGCTAGTGCCTTCTCCGCGTTATCGGCGCGCAACAGTGGTGCTGGTGGCCTCGTCATATGTCACTTGGACATATCAGACGCACACATTCTCCAACAGCCTCGAGACCCTGTTGGTTGCCTGGGGACTGGTTTTGATTCGGCGCATTGTCGGGAATAAGGTGCGACAGACAAAGCTTCAAGGCACACAATGCACGCTAACGACACTCCTAGCGACACTCGTCCCTCGTCTCTCACGCCGTGCTCGCCTTCATCGCCGTGGTGGGTGTCTTCAACCGTATCACTTTCCCAGCTTTCCTTTTATTCCCGGGCCTGCAATTGCTGCCTCAGTTCCAGCGCAAGTGCGTCGATCTATATACCCTTCGCCTCCACCTTGTCAACAACGCACATGTACTAACCCTGCCCTCGCACCAGACCACTCTCGCTCGCAGTATTTCTCTTCTTCGGCATCGTCTTTTCCTTCATCGCAGTCTATGCAGACACCACCTTCTACCGGCCGACAGCGTCCCTCCTTAGTACCCTCCGTGACCCTATAATTACCCCTCTCAACAACCTCCTCTACAACACCAACACCTCCAACCTAGCCCAGCACGGCCTCCACCCTCACCACCAACACTTCACTGCAAATCTCCTTCAACTCCTCGGTCCAGCATACGTAGTCATGCTAGTCTCCCTCTTCAGCCGGCCACTGGTACCATACTGGATGCGTAACGTGCGCGCCCTATCCGCGCTTTCGGCCACGATGCTCCTCTCCCTCTTCCCGCACCAAGAACCACGCTTCCTCCTCCCAGCCGTACCCCTCCTCCTCAGCTGTATCCCCTTGCGCCGCTCCCGCCTCCTCCTCGCCATGTGGGTCACCTTCAATGCAGCCATGGGTTTCCTCATGGGCGTGTACCACCAAGGCGGCGTCGTCCCCACGCAGCTAGCTATGCGCGACATCATCTCGTCCAGCACAACACACCACATACCTTCCGCGACGGTCTTCTGGTGGAAGACATACTCACCGCCTCTGTGGCTTCTCGGTGGTGACAACCAGACCACAGAGATCCAGACGCTGGATCTCATGGGGATTCCAGGGGTGGAGATGATGCTGCAGCTAGAGCAGACTGTACCCGAATGCTCCACTTCATCATCTGTATTCCTGGTCGCGCCTACGTCGGCTGCTTTTCTTGACCAATACGCCGTGTCTGCGCGTCAGAGCCCAGACCAAAACCAAACCTTGCATCTTCACCCACTTTGGTCTTATCGCAAACACCTTAACCTCGATGACATGGACTTCGGCGATGATGGGATCCTGCCGACTCTGAAACGGGTTGTTGGGCGCCGTGGACTAAGTGTTTGGTCTGTGCGGAGATCTTGCAGATAATCTTCCGATGCTTCTTCGTGGACGTTGTATTCTGTTTACCTTCTATGTTTGGGAAGTCACCTCTCGGTTGGGTTTTGACTACAAGCTCTCTTTTTTTCTTTCTCAAGCTGTTTTTGGTGCATATTAGGGATACTAGGTCCATATGGCATTGGGGATGAGCGTGAATTGAGTTGAAGTCTCCGGGGTACTAGTCTACTTGTACTTAACTAGTAGGTTACCTCTACCTACATGTAAGTAGTTCTAGTTCAATTTATTCTTTTGATCCTTCATTCCTGTTTCGGCTGGTTGGCTGGGTTAAGGTCTTGGGTGCGGCGTAGTTGATGGTAGCTGCAGGTGAGGATATGTAATATTCTGACGATTTGGGCGGTCTTCGCGGTTCCAAGTCCAAAGTGAACAAAGTTCTCCGATCCTACGGATGCACTCCAACCATTCGCAGGTTATCTGCACATCTGTTTACCTAGATACACAATCCGTGTGATCACCAATGAAAATCACTCCATGGCAGATGACCGGATCGAAGGTGGCCACTTGTCCCGCCTACAGTCTTACAATGCTACCCACAAAGTCTATGTGCAGCGAACAGGTACTATTTTGCCCATTAAGGTAGATACATAACAGGCATCTGAGAAAGAGGGAACAGCAGGATGCGAAGGAGCCAAGCTGAGTACTGAGTGGTATTCATGGGAAGGGGTCCGAGGTGAGGAGAGATGGGAATCAATTCAAACAGTAGCATGCTTGGTATTCATCATAGAACATAACGTTAGAGGGGGGAAAAGTAGGAGAGGAAGAAAAGAAGTCGAGAGAGAACATATTATTCTTTACTGCTCATCCTCCTCCGGCTGGTCGAAAAGGAAGTTGGCAGCGAGCTCTTCGTTCTTGTCGCAGGCGAAATAGGCCTGAATGACAGAGTCGCGAGGGAAGCCGAGACGGCACAGCTGGTTTGGGTTAGTTTTTGAAAGATACCATGAGATAGAATGACTCAACATACACGCTCAATAGCATCGCGCTCTTCTTCCGTAACCGAAATGGCCTGCGCACCGGGTGGCAGAGCACCCTCCTCGTCCTCGAGTTCCTCACCTAGAAGCTGCAGGAACTGATCGGAGTTCTGTCCGATGATTGACGCAATCTGAGGATTCCCAGCGGCGACTTGTTGCAGAATGGGCTCGAGCATGTGCGGCTGCTGTTGAACAAGCTGACGAAGCTGTTGGAAATGGGGGTTACTGCGCAGGAACTCCAGGCTGCCGAGAGCTTCACCACCAGCGGTACCAGCACCGGCACCAGCAACACCGCGAGATCGGCCACCACCTTCACCACCGGCCTGAGCGGCGGCCTCGAAGAGATTGAAGTGTGGCTCATCACCACCTGAAGGAGCAGCAGGAGCAGCGCCGGTAGAAGCTGGCTCTGAGGCTTGTCGCTGTTGTTGTTGCTGTTCCTGGATGTTATCGGGAATACCCTGTCGTGCTCATTAGCAAAGATTCAAGGCATAGCGTTCAACATAAGCATACGGTCAGAAGGTATTCGATGGCGCGATCAGGGTTGTAAAATGCGGCGCGCATGGCACGGTCGATGTCGGTGCGTGCGAATCCCATTGCCTCCATCTGGGCAGCTGCTCCCTCAGCGGCAGAGCCCATGGTGAGAGCGGAAGGATCTCCGAAGGCGGGACCGCTCGATGGAGGCGGAGCCGCACCGGCCGGGGAGGGGGTCGCGGGGGCGGCAAAAAGAGGAGCAGCAGCAGCAGCATGAGGAGCTGGGGGAGGAGCGGGTGTTGACACTGGAGCTCGGGCAGCCGGGGTGGAAGGAACTTGGGGGGCAGTAGACGAGGCGGCCTTGGGTTGCTGATCATCAATCCGTCAGTTTTAGCTCGATGATCACGTATATCATGAAAAATGTTCTCCCATACCTTTGAAGGCAAGCACACTAGGAAGTCCTTCTCTTGGATGTTGTAAGATTCGACTGTCTTATCATCCTGAAGGATCTTCCCTACAAAAAGAAAATAGCGAGGGTTAGCCTTGACGCCGTGGTGGGAGAATCTGTCTATCAAGGGGAAGGTACAAACCAGAGTAGATAACCTTCATGCGCTCTGCATCATATTCGCCCTTCTCTTGGGCGATTTTGACCTTGACCTCGCGAACCTAAACAGATGAGCCCCGCACTCGATAACGCTGGCTGGTTGTTGGACAGGGAACAAACGTACAGTCTCAGAAGGTTCGACATCGATGACAAACTTCTCCTGCTTCAGATCCTACGAACCGATAATTGTCAGTAATCTGTGGCTGTGAGGACCTCAAGAGCAAGTTTTCGAAATGCACCTTGAAAGTGAGCTTCATTTTGCCGCTTTGGCGTAAAACCAGAGAGAAAAGGGGTAGGGAGAAAAGATGACGAATTGGGATAGGAAAAAGAGAGAGTAGTTGATGTAAAGGATCCTCTCAGCGATGTAGTCGAAGAAAAGTCGAAGAGAAGGAAAAGTAAGTAGGAGGGGAGCATTCAGAGTGACGATGATCGATAGCAAACGAGTGCGGTGACCGCCTTCGGATTTATCTCCACTACTACCCAACTTCCTGCCCATGACAACTTCTCAGGGCAGGTTTTCCAAAGGCTCTCCAGGTCTTAGGCTATTATTGCTATTCTTTTGCACAGCTATCACTCCATAGGGCGCACATTTGCACATAAAAAATCCCAGGTTTATTAACCCGATTTAATTCCAAGCCGGTTGCCTGTTGGCCACCTCAACGACAACATCTCAGGCAGACATCGAGTTTATTGGCAATGCAGATCTGTGTCTTAACATGGTCCCAACGACAATGAAGGCTTTTCTAAATTATTTAGTGCTTGGAACTCCTCTATAACACAGTTTTAAGTGCCACTATTGCCTCTCAAGTAAGTAGCACGGACGTTGTACTCCGTACATTGCAGCTAATGTTACCACACGGAAAAAAGATACATATGAAAAATCCACAAAAGCACGAAGAAAACATTAATCAAATTTGACAAATACTATCAATTGCATGCAGCAGACTTCTTCCGGAACGGCATTGACCGAATCACAGGACAATCCAACCTGTTTACTCCGTTCCTGCAGGACGGGTCATGAAATCCCGTCCTGTACGGAGTACCTCTGCCATGGAATATGGATCTATAAAATCTTCATAGTGCAATTTTGAGTTTGGCTTAAATCACTACGTAGCTCCATCTGGTCCAGCTGAGACCCAAGGGAGCACGGAGATTTGCTCTCGCAAGGGAGAGAGATACATCACATTCGGTCCGCGCTATTGGGATTGAGAGAGAATCCGCCACCTCGACCGGGCAGTGTTATCCAACAAGACCGATAGATCAGATTGAGTTGTGCTATTGTTAGCGAGATTAACCCTAACTATCGGATTCCTACTCTATAGGACAGGTCTAAGCTGGCAGGGCCCTACCCCAGAATTAGGCGCCATGGCTTTGTCTTAATGCCTTTGATACGACAATTGTCAATATACACACACATTTGACATCCCCAGCGGGACTTCTCTATCTCGGCCAATGGACCCTATTCCTATCAAGTCGATTCTTATCTACAAACTTTAACCATCATGCTGGAATGGTGAAGCAGACCGATCTCTTTTGCAAAGAAGTAATTGACAGGTTGACCCTGCTTCTCCGATATGGTTTGAGCCACGCTGAGATCCGCATCGCCCCGTCCCGTGTTGCGAACCCTCGTCTGCGTCCACGAATGCCCAACTCATAAATACTGATCTCTTCCCATTCATGGAGTCTGCAGATTTCCTACATTCATTCAATGCATTGGTAAACGTCTCGGATTGGCAGTCTGCCAACATTTGACATTACCACACTCTCTTGTTCTATTTTGATATACTTTCAAGCCCTTCTTTTGTCAAGTCCCTCTCTCTTTCACATGGTCATGTTTTACCCACCTTGCTTTTTGGCGGCGGCCTCCTTGCTCGTAACATTCATTGTCTCCATTCTCAATTTCATCTGCTATGCAACCTCAAAAGCCTCGCCTGATGTGGCCTCGACTATCTTAAGTACAGTAGGCTGCGTGGCTTTGATTGCCCTCGGTCTGCTGCACCACCAAGACATCCAAGTCGGCTGCCAACAGTGGATCTGTTTCACTGGCGGATATCTACTTGTTGCTGCTGCTGTATCTGCCGGAGCAATGACAATGAGTCCTCAGACCTCGGTCTTTGTGGTTCGCTCTGTATTCTGGGCACTCTCAGTGTTTGCACAAGGCTTTTTCTGTGGATTCCTCGCGATGACGCTAGCCCAGGAGAAATCCAATCCCAAATGGCCGCGTCCCTACTTTCAAGAGGTTTACTCCCAAGAGCCCAAGGGTATCCACCAAAGCCCTGGTTTCCTCCCATCACCTCTCGAGTATGCGACTTGTCCAAACTATTGCAACCAAAGAGATCTTCGCTCCGCAAATTCCCTCGGCGGTCTAGCCGCTGCTCAGGCGTAACCCTCTGTTCTTCAAGCGCCAAGGAAGAAAAGCACGCTTCCATCGACACAAGCTCCTCAGCCCACTTCTCACCAAGCCCATCCCCAACACAGGACAGAAGGCTAGACACTCTCCCAGATCAGGACACTCGCCCCCTCCTCCTCGGTACTCACAACGTCCGCGGCATGCCCAGCCTACGCCGCAACCCACCAACCGCACTCTCTTTAGCAAGTCTAGTCCACCCACCAATGCCATCGCCAACGGCGTCAACAATCCGTGTCGACTCTCTAACACAGTCCACCTCCAACAGCTCCACATGGGCATACACCCCGTTCGGCGAGGACAACATCCATCCTCTCTTCCGATCCACAAGCCCCTGTCCATCCCCAACATTTGCGCCGGGCACAATGGTCAAAGCCTTGCCGAGTGCGGGGCAAACCATCACGGCTGGGACGATCACACGCATGCAATCTGCCCACTCCCTCCGCGACCAGGTCATGTGTATACCCTCCCCATTCCCTGGGTTGGAGTCGGAGGAAATTCTCTGCTCGAGACCGAATCCGACTCGAGGTGGTTTTGCTGAGAAGAGACATGACTGGAACGAATCCCCTTGTGAAAAGTGATTGGTTTACCTTGGTCCATCGTGATCTGCATCACTTGCAATGTTTTCATCTCTTTTTTTTTACTTTTCTTTTCTGTTAGTATCTGGATGGATCTTCGGCTACAGTTGTGCACATAGGAAATGGGTGGGTGGTAAAATTGCAAATTTTGTGTTGCATCTACTGAACTTGTGAAAGCACCTCATGGAGTAGTTGAATAGGAGGTGCGGCTTCCCCTATTAGTGTCTTCCAATGACAATTTCACATTGGATGATACTGATGATACCGATGATACCGAGAAGACTCTTTTTACTACGGAAGAGTGTTTCCATTTCCCCTCAAACAAGGATAGGTGGCCGCTTCTACGGACTAGGCTGCCCTACATGGCGAAAACTGCAGTACCTACGATCTGTGCTGAGAGCTAGGGATGACGTGGACTAGAGCACCTTGGAGACACATTTTCGATTGAAGAACCTCCGCAGTAGACGCGTGCTAGAAATGTTTTTTTTTAGTAGTCACTAGAGCCAGCACCATAAACCACTCCGCATACAGTCTACAACATATTGCAACTCGAACATCCGCATGCGTTGTTGTCACCGACTCTCAGACTAAGTGGGTCCGTATATTTTTTCCTGTACTCCGTACTCCCTAGGGGAAAAGGATATATAGAAGATCGAATGCTATATAGAATACCCAAAGATGAACCGATCTAGCACGAAAATAACCATATTCAAGAGACAGACCATATCCGAACATCATTGGCGTCCTATCTAGACACATCAACTCGTCATGTTCACGGGGTAGGCCAAGTACTCCAGTAGGTATGAGCCGGAAGTGGCTGGGGATCGGAGATACACGTAGATATGATTGTTGGTATATCCTCTATTGTTCTCAGGCAGAAGCTATAGAATCACAAGCGGTCGTTTCAAGGTTGAATGCATACTCTATTGAAAATGTTTATGCCTCTATTCCCGAGCCTCAGCCGAAGTGACGGAACAGACACCGATTTCGACACCAATCAACGAGAAGATGAATGTGTTCAAGTGTTTGAATAGATTGAAATTGAATTGAGAATGTGATGGTCATGATCTCGATCCTTATTACTCCGTTACATTGTTCTCTTTTATTCTTTTATTCTATATAGGAGCAGAATCCAAGGTTCAACTGTGCCATAATCACCTTGTTTTGACCTTTTCCCTTTCTTCTTCGACCTCTTTTACCCTCTTCTCTCTCTTCTCTCTCTTCTTTTCGCCTTTTCTCTACTTTTTTTTTCAATTTCGACGATCTTACTTATTTCCCATCTTCTCGTGTTCCTTTTCACTTCTACTCCTGTTCTGTTTCTACGATCTCCGTTCTCTCTTCTCTTCTTCCTTCCCCCCCCCCCGTTTTCTTCG